CTAGCTTTGTATTTACTTAACCGTAAAAAAGTGTCATAATGAAGGATATTCTTACGCTATATGGCTCTATTGATCTTAAAAAGTTAGTAAAACCATCTAATTATTCTAACATAACTTCTAAACAAAAATCTAATAAATGTTTACGAACTACTCAAGAAAGCGGTAATTCAGCCAATCTCACTAACGAGTAGCAGCTTTTCATCGTACACTCCTAACAGTTCAGAAAACTTTTCCATATGCTTTAGGAAATCGTTGCAAGCTCAGCTATAAAACTAACAAAAAGGTTAGTTAACTTGCAAAAACTTCAAAAGGGACTATTATAAAATATTTGGAAATTAGATCTAAATAGAAAAAGGATTAAATCTTTAATAGATAAAAATTAATCCTTTCTCTATTAATTGGTAATGTTCTACTATGTTTGTTGTAGCTTTATTTTTAATAATTAGAGACTGGATTATGGAAAATGCATGTGCATTATATGCAGCGTATTTGTGGGTTTTTTATAAATGCTTATGCTATTCATATTTACTTGATTAAGAGCATATTGCCACATATTTGAAAATATTACATAAATAAAATGATTTGCTATACATATTTAGATAATAGTTTCTAAAAATTATTCATAGCAGGTACTAGGTAAGGTAACTACGAAATAATTTTATTACAAATATCTACTAAAGTTAAAAGTTTTATTGTTTCGGAAGATCCATCTGGGAATTAATTATCAGAAGAATAGGGCAGGTAGGTATTATATAGTAAATTCGTTTTTAATTCTCTTTACCAGCTGGCAAAGCAACTTGTTATTGTGAATATTGTGCTTATAAAATCAAAATAATTTCTTTTTGAAAATGTGCCGAATGTAGCAAAACAAAAATCAAGTCTATTGCGAAGTTGGGTTGGTGGCAACAGTGAAATGAAGATTATAGACAATGAAAGTGTTTTCTGTACTATTTGTGATAAAAAGGTGAGTCCACTTATATTTTAACGATTTAAAAATTTAATGTAAAATCTCATTTTTGCAAGAAAATCGGTATACCTATACTAAATATGTAACAGTTTGACTATTGGCGGTAGTTTTAGTTTCGAGAAAAAAATATAAGTTATCTTAAAAATTTGAAATCCATATTATTGCATTAGACTCCTATTTACTAAACCATTTCATTACAAATTCCATGTGAAAAAAAATTCCCAACACCTGAAAACGGCTCTCCACCAATATAAACTATCTAAGGAATTCAAGAAACTACGTCAGCAACTTCTTCAGAACAACAATATTCAAAATAGTCACACATCGACTGGGCAAGAAATGTTTGCAAAAGATGTATGCAATTTTTTGTAAGTTGCAATATCCCACTGTATAAATTGGATAGCAGGGTGTGTCAAAATTTTTTGAAAACATATTGGAAAGTTGAAAATAAGTCAGTAGAGGTACCAAGTTCTTCAACTCTTCGCAAGAAACATGTGAGGGCATCTTACAAAGACGTTATTGAAGGTATTTAAAAGCCGGGTAAGAGATGAATATCTGTGGATATCTGTCGATATCTGTCGATACGAACAAGTAGAAAAATATTAGTATTTGGGAACTTTGATCAATGAAACCAATGATCATACTGCAGAAATAAACAGGTGAATAGAGATTGCCAGATCAGCATTTATACGAATGAAGCCAGTCCTAACGTGCCAAAAAATCTAAATTTGGAGATCAGACTACATACATATTGTTCTGAAGCTATTTTCGTGTGGCATTTTAAATTAATTACTATTTAACTGGGAATAAGCGGAATAAGTGGAAATTGAAACGTCAATAAACGTATTTTTATCTTTAATTGTGGCTTATTCCCAGTTAAATAGTAATCAGATTACATACCATTCGCTGTTATATATTTTCAGTATTATTATATGCAGTTGAGACTTGGACATTAAAAAAATCCAATTTAAAAAGAATCGATCCTTTCGAACTCTGGTTACACCGCAGAGTATTAAAAATATCATGGACTGATAGAATTACAAATAAAGAAGTACTGGAAAGGGTTGGTAAAGAAACAGAACTATTCACCACTATATAAACCAGAAAACTGAAATACCTAGGCCACGTGATGAGGGGACCAAAATATGAAATTTTGAGACTCATATTACTGGGAAAGATTCGAGGAAGAAGATCTGCTGGCCAAAGGCAGAACTCATGGTTGAAAAATCTACGTAATTGGTATAATAATATCGAGGTTGTGAATTTGGGTAGGCCATATATTCGAGGTGTTCTGGAAGACTTGTCACGAGGAATTAGATTATTTTATGTCAACAGGAAGAAAAGAAAAATGATAACGGTTTCTGTTGTTTTCTTTAGATAGGTTGTTGGATTATTAGGAATCAGTCTGTAGTCTGGAGTATTTGGAATAAGATTTTAGAGTTTATTAATGTAAGATGAAGTGTCTAGGATAACGGTGACATTTCCTTTATCAGCGGGAAGAATGACTAGATTTGGATTTGATTGAAGTGATTTCAGGGCTTTTTCTCGGATTGGCTAATGTTCGGAGTAAGAGGATTTGAGTTTCTAAGAGATCTAGCGATGTCTTGTCTAGTTATTTCAGTATCTTCGGAATTTAAACTGGAGATTTCTTCTTTAGTTTGAAAGATAATTGTCTCAATTAGAATGTGACTTGAGGTAACTCAAACTGTTGTTAAAGCTTGAGTGGCAATGGTCGAAATAGGGGTATCAGCAAAGTTGTGTACCACCGTAGTGGGTTTCAACGTTGTTGGTTTTGGAACCACTAATTTGCGCTTCTGAGTTTCAGTCTTAGATTGGAAAGTGTTTAGTACTGTCTATATGTTGATACAGTCAAAACTGTCCCATAATATAGATGTACATTAAAAGAATGAGTAGATGACCAGATTTTGAAAATGTTGATATTTGTGACATCTAGTTTTCGTCTAGAGGCTTCACTGAGAGGCCCAAAACTAGTCTTTTTAAGAATTTGGGAGATAACAGAAAAAGAAGTATGAAGAGTTTTAGAAATTTGAGAATGACTTTACGGTCTCGGCAGGCTTTAAGGAATGTTGAATTACAAAGAAGACGAATCTCACTTAGCAGCAGATTGCTGATTTAGTGAGCTGGTAAAATTCTTCCCCGTAGAGGTGAATACTAATATATATATATATATATATATATATATATATATATATATATATATATATATATATATATATATATATATATATATATATATATATATATATATACAAGAAATACTGGATATTAGTGACTGTCGATATAAACAAACAACACAGTTTATTAGGGTTGCAATCAGAATATTGACCGGGATGTTAAAAAAACACTCTTTTGACTTTTTGTCGAGCTTTCGGAATGGTTTTATTCCTTTTTCAAGACACTGTAATAAGACAAATATGTAAATATTTAAAAAATATCACAATTCTTTCAGTGTAACTTACTAGTCGTTGAGATTATTTGTATAAGCATTGACACTCAACATTTATAACACATATTAAAATATACAATTATGGACAGAATACATTATAAAATTTTTAAAATTTATTGTAAAAATAGTAAAACTTAGTTGATGGCATGTTTTAGTGGTGTATATTAACTCATACAGAGAATGGAAAGTAAAAACACTGTCATTAATATGTAACTAGGTGTAATTGATGTTATCTTTCTTTTCAAGAAATACTAGAGGCCCTTCTTAGGTGACTATACTTTTTAAACCTGTCTTAATGGTATGCAACATATAATAAATAGAGGTGTAATTTATGTACAGGTAAATATTTATTTTATTTTTGGTGTTTTTCTAGTAAATAACAATAAATGCTGCTCAATTTGTCTATGTCGGACTTTTTGTTGATGCAAGATGTGCTAGATTTTATGAAACACATTTCCAAAAAAGCACGTTTTGAATGGTTTTTTTCTTTTGCCTAAATACAGGAATCATCGAAATTGAATTCATGTTTCAGAGTTAGTGCATGTTCTGTCAATGCACATGCATTGATTTTTTTGGTTTTTATATCACTACGATGTGATATCACCCTGCTGTGAAAATTTCGAGATGATTCTCCTATGTAAATTTTATTACAATTAGTACACGGTATAGAATAAAACAACATTCGATGACTCCTGTATTGTGAAAGGATCTTTTGTTTTTGTGTAAAGCTTCGATACTGTTTTCACATTTTTGGTTGTAATTTTTAAGCCACTAACATTTTTAAAGATGTTCATTAGCTTAGGTTACTAAAAAATGTTAGTGGCTTAAAAATTACAACCAAAAATGTGAAAACAGTATCAAATCTTTACACAAAAACAAAAGATCCTTTCACAATACAGGAGTCATCGAATGTTGTTTATTCTATACCGTGTACTAATTGTAATAAAATTTACATAGGAGAATCATCTCGAAATTTTCACAGAAGGGTGATATCACATCGTATTGATATAAAAACCAAAAAAATCAATGCATGTGCATTGACAGAACATGCACTAACTCTGAAACATGAATTCAATTTCGATGATTCCTGTATTTTGGCAAAAGAAAAGAACCATTCAAAACGTGTTTTTTTGGAAATGTGTTTCATAAAATCTAGCACATCTTGCATCAACAAAAAGTCCGATATAGACAAATTAAGCAACATTTATTGTTATTTACTAGAAAAAACCAAAAATAAAATAAATATTTACCTGTACATAAATTACACCTCTATGTATAATATGTTGCATACCATTAAGACAGGTTTAAAAAGCATAGTCACCTAAGAAGGGCCTCTAGTAATTCTTGAAAAGAAAGATAACATCAATTACACCTAGATACATATTAATGACAGTGTTTTTACTTTCCATTCTCTGTATGAGTTAATATACACCACTAAAACATGCCATCAACTAAGTTTTACTATTTTTACAATAAATTTTTAAAAATTTTATAATGTATTCTGTCCATAATTGTGTATTTTAATGTGTGTTATAAATGTTGAGTGTCAATGCTTATACAAATAATCTCAACGACTAGTAAGTTACACTGAAGAATTGTGATATTTTTTAAATATTTACATATTTGTCTTATTACAGTGTCTTGAAAAAGGAATAAAACCATTCCGAAACTCGACAAAAAGTCAAAAGAGTGTTTTTTTAACATCCCGGGCCAATATTCTGACTGCAACCCTAATATACTGTGTTGATTGTATATATATTGTACTTTTGAATGTCCATAAGCAATAAAAAACCGATATACAA